GAAAGAAAACCATCCACTAGATATAATGTATCTTGTAGAAAATAAGGAAAAGTAACATAATTGACACCCAGTACTAACTAGAAGTGACAAAAAAGAACATGAAATTGACGCAATATTCTCTAGTTTCTTTCATTAAAGTTATCACCGGCCAAAACATAGCAAAGAAAACCATTGAACAGACCATGTACTTTGTAGGAAAAATCCTGAGTTTTTTGGTTTCCTTTCTTCTCTTCAGATCTTGTTCTTCCATCGACACAATTACCCCGAACCAACCTATGAAAGATGGTGACATATTAGTCTCTAATGGTGGATCCTTCGCGCTCGGGTTCTTTAGCCCCGGCAGTTCCAAAAACCGATATGTCGGAATCTGGTACAACAAAGTATCAAAACAAACAATAGTTTGGGTAGCAAACAGAGACAATCCAATCACTGACTTCTCCGGAGTTCTCTCTATTAGTGAAACAGGAAATCTCCTTTTACACGACAAAAAACGAGAGAATATTTCAGTCTGGTCCGCTAATGTTTCATCCATGGCCGCCACGAAAGCTTCTTCAGCTCAGCTCTTGGATAATGGTAACCTGGTGTTGCTTCAAGGAAGGGTTGTTGTATGGCAAAGCTTTGATTACCCTACAGACACCCTGCTTCCTTGTATGAAACTTGGGGTGGACCGGAGGACTGGTCTGAACCGATTCTTGACATCCTGGAAGTCAAGTGAGGATCCAGGAACTGGGGAGTATTCCTACAAAATGGATCCTAATGGATCACCCCAGATTTTCTTGTCCAAGGGTTCAGTAAGGATATGGCGAACCGGACCATGGGTTGGGCTTCAATGGAGTGGGATCCCTGAGATGCCTTCAAATTTCATCTACAACACTAGTTATGTTGACAATGAAGATGAGGTATATTTATATTCATAATGCCTCTGTTTTATCAAGGTTGGTAATCAAACAGTCTGGAGTGATCGAAAGGCCCACTTGGACAGAAGGGGGCCATAGATGGGTTAGGAACGCATCCGCCCCTGGAGACAAGTGTGACAGTTATGGTCATTGCGGTGCCTATGGTAATTGTGATCCATATAGTAATCCAAGCCCATTCGAATGCAGTTGCCTTCCGGGTTTTGAGCCCAAGTCAGAACATGATTGGTACTTGAGGGATGGGTCCAAAGGGAGGGATTTGTGACGGTTGCACATGCAAGGGTCCCCGATACCTTGACCGCACGTGTGAACAAAAGTATGGGAATGAAAGCATCAAGGAGTTGTGCTTGAGCAACTGCTCTTGCACAAAGTACGCAAGTGCTGATGTTAATGGTACAGGAAATAGTTGCATTACTTGGTATGACGACTTGATAGATACAAGGCAATTTTTAGGTTGGGGCCAGGATTTATACATACGTGTGAGTGCAGTTGAGTTAGGTATGGCACCAAATTCTATGTTGATTTTCTAGTGGTAACTGTTTAATTTTCGAGCTTTAGTGGTCTAAATCCTCTGTCTGTTTATAATTTTTTTTCCCGAGGGGTGGGGGGCAAGGGGAAGGGGATGAGCTTGGAAACCACAATCTTGGGTTAGTTTGCACCAATTTTTTACGAAGATAAGTAGTTTTTGAGCCTTATCAAAAAAAAAATATTTGAACTCTAAGCCTTTATCAAATCAATCAGATATTTTCTTTCACTGTTTCTTTATTTTTCCAGCTCTGTATTCAAAAAAGTCGAAGAGCTTGCATCGCAAAAAACTGGTGGCAATTGTCGTAGTATCCTTCACTGCAATGTTTCTCATACTGTCCTTGGTGTATGCATTGGCCATGAAGAAGCGAAAAGGTAAACATGTTAGTCTTATCAGTATGACTATAGTTTAATAGAGCACATCTTCCTGTCAAAATTAGTTGAAATCTTTCACTGGTTGACTAAGTACTCAAAGGTGGATCAATGCAGCAAACTAGTAACCTTCCTGAATTAGTTTTGATTTGAGTTGAGTAACATAAAGCAAAAATATAGCCTCTATGGCTCACTATTTGATGATTAGTGTGGGTACATCAAACACAATACAAAATTAAGACGCGCATTGCAAAATAGATAGTTTAGGCAACCATCAAGACTTATATAAATTTTAATACCTTACATCATGTCGATCTGTGATCTCTCGGTATGATGCATCATTTACCATGTGAAACTATTAACTCAAAAATAAATTCTGATTCTTTATAGCAATACATGTCGTGTAGGTGATCAACTAGCCTTTATTGCAGATTTGTGTTTAACCGCGTTTGATGACAGGTAAGAGAAGAAATCCAAAATTTCCATTTAGACGCAATAGTTCACTGTTCTCTGAAGGACCTTCAGGGGAAAAAGAGATCAACGAAAGTGGGACAAACACAGATTTACAATTCTTTGATCTTAGTTCTGTAGTTGTTGCTACAGAAAATTTCTCTATCTCTAACAGACTTGGAGAAGGAGGTTTTGGCACAGTTTATAAGGTAGCCTCCCTCAAATTTTGTATGACTTCCTTGCAATAGTGTGTGACATATATGCATGCATAACTTTCTTCATTCAAAAGGAAAGTAAAAAGATAGTAAACCGCCCTTCATGAACGGCGATGCAGGGTGGGATGGGCTTGAGTAAGCCAGGATTTCACTTGGACAATATTTTAATGAGCCTGAATTTTGCGATTTATAATTTCAGGGTCGGCTAGACAATGGACAAGAAATAGCCGTCAAAAGACTTTCAAAGAATTCAAGACAAGGGTTAGAAGAGTTGAAGAATAAAGCGAAACTCATTTCCAGACTACAACACAGAAATGTTGTGAGACTCTTCGGCTGCTGCATTCAAGAAGAAGAAAAGATGTTAATCTATGAATATTTGCCAAACAAATGTTTGGACTCTTTCATCTTTGGTATGTGCACTGCTCTTAAAACTCCACTTTTGTTCATTTTGTTTCCGTAATATTTTGAAATTACTTAAGTAAATCATTGAACAAAAAATATTCTAAACATGTCAAGTGTATTAGTCACCTGATATGCATTATTGCAACTTTGAAATTGTTATGCAGATAAAGAAAAAAGGGCAATCGTAGATTGGAGAAAACGCTTTGAAATCATTTTGGGAATTACTACAGGGATGATATATCTTCACCAAGACTCAAGACTAAGGATCATCCATAGGGATCTAAAAACCAGCAATGTACTGCTAGATGCCACCTTGAATCCCAAAATCTCAGACTTTGGTATGGCAAAAATTTTTGATGGGGACCAAATTGATGCAAACACCAATAGGGTAGTTGGAACATAGTAAGTATCATAGCAAGAGGTGAGAGAGAAAATGAGAGAGAAAGGGGGAGAGAGAGGCCCCAAAAAGAATAAAACTTAGTTTTAACAATGTACTTAAACTTTGTGTGATTGCAGTAGTTATATGGCACCAGAATATGCAATGGAAGAACTATTCTCTATTAAGTTTGATGTTTATAGCTTTAGAGTTATGCTACTAGAGATCATCGGTGGCAAGAAGAACAACAGTTACTACCAAGAGAATTCTCATAATTTGGTTGGACATGTAAGTAAATGCAAACAAATTGCATTCCAGAGAAGCTTAGCTTTTTGATTATTTACCTGAAGATGATGTTTGATGTTGTGTCAGGTTTGGAATCTGTGGAAAAAAAGCAGAGCATTGGATGTAGTTGATTCATCATTGGGCAAGTCATCTCAGGCTCATGAAGTTTTGAGATGCATTTGATATGAAATTAAACGATGACAATAAAGTAAAATTAAATCAAAAAATGATAAGAATGCAATCCAGACAATCATACAATACAGAATTTACGTGATTCGACAATTTGTCTACGTCTACGAAGCTGAAAGAGTTTCACTATTCTCATGAACGAATAAAGAGAGGGCGGCGGCCGTAAAGAATCAATCCACCAACCCTAATCACCGAATAATCATTTTATATATGTTCTGTGCACAGGGCTACAAAATGGGCCTAAAAAAGCCTCCACTCTATGGACTAAGCTTCAGAAAATTTTTATTAAAAAATCACACAATATTATTCGGGTCGGGTCAACATCCAGGTCGCACACCAAATAGACTCCACAAGAAGAAACCCAACAGCATTCACATTGGTCTTCAGTGTGTGCAAGAATTTGCTGATGATCGGCCTACCATGTCAGAAGTAGCTTTCATGCTTTCTCATGAAACAATACTTCCTTCTCCAAATTAACCCGCCTTTATTTTCAAGGGAGCAAACAATGGTCCAGGCGAGTCATCAGTTTATGTAGGAGTTGATTCTGTGAATGGTGTCACTCTCACGGCGATTGAAGGTCGTTAAAGTTTCACAGTATCGTGGACTCTGGGTTATTTACTCATTGCAAGTGGTATCTATAGGCAGACATTGCCTTTTCATTAGGCCCCTTATAGGTTCAGTAAACAAGTTCTCGTCCCTAGAGCTACGCTCCTAGAAGGTGTTTCGCTAATCAAAATTTGAGAACTATCAAAAGGTGATGAATAGTCTTATTGCACACAATCCTTAGGACATATGGTTCTGCCCTGGTTCAAAATGTTTGCTATGAGTCAATCTCGCACTGCTTAGTGAAGTGAGTGTCGAGTGGTACACAAGTATGAACGTTAAACCTTCAGTGTGCAACACATTCTAATATTTTTTGAACATATCGTATACTACGAGATTGGGTATTGCAATCAGTATCAGAGCTATCTATCCTCATCTTGAAGCTGATGTGGCTGGGGTGTTATGAGGGTATTGTTTGCAATCAAATTCCTTTGATCAGCTGGGGTGTTATGACAGTTGCACATGCATTGGTAAGACCCACATCAAATTTAAACGGTAGTTCCAAAAAAAATGTACTTTCGTATCGGAAAACATATTCAAAAAATTATTGGGTAACGTTAAAAGCTTTTTCGTTAGGAAAATCTGTTTTGACCGGGAAACCAAAAAAAATTTTGTGCGAAAAACAAATAAATAATAAAACATTGGAAAAAGAATCTGAATTGATTTGACTCAATATATAAGTTCATTTCATAACATTTGAGTCTTATTTGTAAGACCCTTCAAGTTTTGTACACAAAATCTCATCACATAGTACCTTAGCTCCAGAGACAAAATCTCATTCTGTGAATGCATGAGTGACTGAGAGAAATTGTAATGTTAATCAGCTAATACTGCTAGAATAAGTAAATAATGTACAATCTGCGATGACACGATAATTTAGCGAGCTTGGACTTGAGAAATAGTGAGATAATTTATAGAAGCAGTTCCCACACTAGCTGATGATGAGTCCCCAGTAGTTGCTCTCTTGAAAATAAATGCAGGTTGGCTTGGAGAAGTGAGTGTTGTTTCATTGCAAAGCATGAAAACTACTTCTGACATGGTAGGCCGATCACTGGAAAATTCTTGCACACATAGTAACCCTATGTGAATACATCTCAAGACTTCATGAGCTTGATATGAGTCCCCCAATGTTGAATCAACTACCTCCAGAGCACTGTTTCCTTTCCACAGGTCCCAAACCTGGTGCAATACTAAGCATTAACTTTAGGTAAATAATCAAAGAGCAATGCTACTCTTGGAGCAGAGCAAAAACCTACTAGTTTCCCTGCAATCCGTAAGTGGAACGTTGTTTTGGAAAATTCAAAGGAAACACAAATTGGGACTATAGTCGATTTCCTATCACATTAAACCTAAGAGTTATTAAATTCTTCTCACTCAGTTTTGGGGAGTGCATGAATCTCCTTTTGTTTCACTTCAAGTCCGTTCCTGCTCTTGAAATTGCAAGTGTTGTGTGAGAATCAAGGTTTTTGAGACTTACGGAATGCTATTTTCTATAACTGAATGGTGAAGTTGAGATCTTTGCTTTAAATGCAATTGTGTGCGCGTACTTACATGTCCAATTAAATTAACAGAGTTCTCCTGATAGTAACTGTTATTCTTCTTGCCACTAATGATCTCCAATAGCAAAACCCCAAAGCTGAAAACATCAGATTTAGTAGAAAATTGCCCCTCCATTGCATATTCTGGTGACATATAACCACTGTAATCACACAACATTAATAACATTGTTAAAACACAGTCTAAATATTCTCTCTCTTTCTCTCTCTCTTGCTATTATACTTACTATGTTCCAACTACTCTATTCGTGTTTGCTGCGATTTGGTCCCCATCAAAAATTCTAGCCATACCAAAGTCTGATATTTTTGGATTCATGGTGGCATCTAGCAATACATTGCTGGCTTTTAGATCCCTGTGGACAATTCTTAATCTTGAGTCCCGGTGAAGATATACCATCGCTCGAGCAATTCCCAAAACAATTTCAAAGCGTTTCCTCCAATCTAAAATTGACCTTTTTTCCTTATCTGGACCAGAATTGGAAGTTCCAATAATGCATGAGTTAGTACTACACTTTACGTGTCAAAAATATATTTGAATATGAAGGAAAAATGAATCAAAGTGGAAGTTTAAAATAGGGTACATACCGAAGATGAAAGAGTCCAAACCTTTGTTTGGCAAGTATTCATAGATTAACATCTTCTCTTCTTGTTGAACGCAACAGCCCAGGAGCCTCACAAGGTTCCTATGTTGAAGTCTTGCTATCAGTGTCACTTCATTCTTGAATTCTTCTATCCCTTGTCCTGAAGTTTTCGATAGTCTTTTTACAGCTACTTCTTGTCCATTATGTAGCCTACCCTGAAATCAAAACATCCATTTTCAACAATTTATAGTGAAATTTAGGCTATTTTAGTTGTTGTTCAAGTTTGATCCCACATTACTCGACCCAAATGAGGTGAGGTATGCTGCATATAAACACAACTAGGAAAGAGCTATGCAACATTTGAGGGAGGCTACCTTATAAACAGAGCCAAAACCGCCTTCTCCGAGCCTGTTAGCAAGAGAGAAGTTGTCTGTGGCAGCAACTATGGTGCTTAGATCATAGAATGGTAAATCTGAATTTGGTCCACTTTCGTTGATCTCTTGTCCGTGCGTGGATCTTTCGTAGAATGGTGACCTATTGTTGAAATTAAACAACAGTCTGTCTCTTCTTCCATTACCTGCATGACATGTCTATGAGGATCATATTTGTTTTAGCATAATATTTTGATATTAATTGGCAAGAGATGATTACCACAGGATATGCACTGAAAATTACTCGGAGCATAGTATTATTGAAGTAAAGTCATTTGTAGAAGGTCTGACCCACGATATCTATCTACACATCTAACGTATACACGTTTCGAGATATAAACATTATAATAGCCCCTTACCTATAGCTAATGTAGAGTTGGCTACTATACAAGTGATGAAGAATGCGTCTCTTGATTGGTTGGTGGCATTTAGGGGTGGTCGTTGGCTATTATTAGATTTTAGTGGTGGTGGTTGAGTATTTAATCAATAGAGATAGCAAATCATGATACTTGTCTTTTATTCTTCCGATCATAGATAAAAAAATTAGATGCACTAATATGCATTAGTACCCTTGGCAGGCACCTGAGATCTCGCTAACACTCGTGAAAATGTTGATAGGAATATGTATACACACACACACACATATATATATATATATATGATCGTGTGTTTTACCTTTCCTCTTCTTCATGATTAACCAACAAGCCAAGGAGAGTATGAGGAACATTGCAGCAATGGATACTGCCACAATTGTCACCAACCTTTTGCCGTGAAAGCCCTTTGACTTCTTTGAATATTGAGCTGAAAAAATATAAATCAAACTTCAGATTAAATTTTTTTTTCCTTTTTGATCAGGCACTATTACGCGGGAGAGAGCAGTGGCCAACGACTAAACTCAATCATTTGAATAATTTAAAAGGCTATAAAAAGTATAAGGGTTGATCGACATCGAGACGGGCTGACTAACACAGGCCCACCAGTCAACAGCAGCGCTATCCGTGGGTTATCACATGCAAAATGATGTTGTTTTGTGTATGATATAATATCGTAAATGACATCTTTGTGAATAATAACAAAAAATCAACGTTACCCGTCAAAGATATTTACCCTCTTATGAATATAAACAATTACCATTGATTGCTTACCTAACTCAACTGCATCCACACGGACATATAAATCCTGGCCCCCATTTAGAAATTGCCTTGTATCTATCAGGTCCCCATACCAAGCCAAGCAACTATTTCCTCCATCACTAATATTAGCACTTGTATACCCTGTACAAGAGCAATTTTTCAAACACATTTCCTCACATGCTTTCAATCCCATATTTTTGTCCACACGTGCCATTATCGAAGTGTCCGGGATCTTTGCACGTGCCACCTTAACAAATCCCTCTCCGTTTCCACAAACATGTACCCCTTGCTTCCTCAAGCACCCTTTGGAACCATCCCGTAAGTACCAGTCACGTGCTGATGCGGGCTCATAACCCGGAAGGCAAGTGCATTCGAACCCATTTGATTTAAATGGGTCACAATCACTATTCGCACCGCATTTATTGTAATTGTCACACTTGTCCTCGGGCGCCGTCCAAAATCCGACCCATCTACGATCCCTCTCTTGCCACGTTAGTCTTTCGATCACCCCAGACTCATTAATCACCATTCTTGAGAAAATCGAGGCGTTATGTATACCATACAATATTGAGACCTCATTCTGATTATTGACATAGGAGACATTGAAGATGAAATTAGGTGTCATTTCTGGGACACCACTCCATCTGACCCCATTCCAGGGTCCGGTTCGCCATACCCTAGTCGAACCCTTGGACAAGAAAATCTGGGGTGAACCGTTAAGGTCCATTTTATATGAATACTCTCCGGTCCCCGGATCCTCACCTGACTTCCAAGATGTCAAGAACCGGTTCAGACCGGTCCTCCTGTCCACCCCAAGTTTCATGTATGGAAGCATAGTGTTTGTAGGATAATCAAAACTTTCCCATACAACAACCCTTGTGCTATCCCCTTGAAGCAACACCAAGTTACCTGAATCCAAGAGCTGAGCTAAGCAAGTATTCGTCGCGGACGTGGAAGAAACATTAGCTGACCAGACCGGAATATCTCCGCTTTGGTCATGTATAACGAGATTTCCGGCTTTGTCGACGGAGAGAACTCCGGTAGTGTTGGTGATTGGATTGTCTCTGTTTGCTATCCAAACTATTGTTTGATCTGATACTTTGTTGTACCAGATACCGACATATCGGTTACTAGAACTGCCGGGGCTAAAAAACCCGAGTGCGAAGGATCCTCCGTTAGAAACTAAAATGTCACCATCTTTGATAGGTTGGTTTGGAGTAATGGTGTCAATGGAAGAACAAGATCCGAATAGAAGCACTGAAATCAAAAAAATCTGGAGTTTTTCTGCAAGATACATGGTTTTCTCTCTGCTATGTTTTGGCAGGTGACCAGCTTTAATGAAACTTGAGAACAGTGTGACAATTTCATGTTCTTTATATCACTTTACAGTAACGTTTGTGTGTAAATATCGAATGGCTAGGGGAACTCACAGGACGTGATACGAACACGATACAAAACCGAAACAACACGACACATGTAGATGATGTTATATGACTCGATCCGCCCACCTAGTCATTTTCATGTCTTTATGCCACTTCTAGTTACTTTTGTTTGTGATTATCGTATGGCAAGCGAGACACCTGTGCTTAGACAGATATGAATGAGAGAAACAATTAATAAATCAATAATTAGTTGGTTGAAAATCTTCGAGCAGGATAGTCCAGTGAGATATTGGCCGAACTTTTCATTTCTTTGAAATTAGAAGTTTGAGTTTTGAAATCCATATTGGGATTTCATTAGTGAGTGTCTATCAGGATAGTCTTTAGACACTCTCTTTTACTCCAACGCCTTATTTAAAAAAAAAAAATTTGGTTGAGCAGTTCGGAGATCTATATGATACATACATATTACATATTACATATTACCAAGTGGATTTCTTTGTCTAAAAGTACTGGCAAAATTATTTGTTTTCTTATTTTTTTTTATTAATTTCTTTGTTGAAATTTCTTAAAATACAGAAGTCCCTTCTGTGAAAATAAAAATTTGTACATCTTATATTTTCGGATCAATAAACTATTTACCATCTGAAAAAAAAGTCAGAATAATATAAATGCATTTTATTCCATAAAAAATGTTATTTACAAAAATGATTGATGGGTTTGAGTAATTCATTGAAGAGATCAGATAACTTGATTAAGGTTCAGGTTCACATTTATAAAGTTTTTTTTTTTAATTATTATGGATGGTTGGTAACCAATATTTTATATCATGTGCATATATACATTTCCATCACATGAATTTGAAAGTACACATCTATGTAACTTGTTTTTTTTTGGGAAGGGAAGGGGACTTGAACCCTTGACCTTAAGAAGGTAAAAGTTTTATAAGGTAAAGAGTATCATTGGACCAAAAACTTATTTGTGACATTTATAAAGTACATTTCACCGAACAATGTAAATTCCATGGAGTAATGCTTTATAACTCAAATTTATATCTCAAATGAAAGGGACCATTGAATCAGTAAGTTCATTAATATTTCTCAATTTTAATGACTCTAATCCCAAATAGCCCTGTTGGTGCTGATGCTGATGTAGATGCTGACACTTGTATGGACTGACACCACTAATTAAAAGTCTCCAAGGTTCACCCATCATTCATTAGTGGGTGATTCTCAATCTCAGATCACTCGGTAAAAATGAGTATAAAGTGACACATACAAATGTAAGTTTCGGACTTTTACTATGTGATTCATGTTTTGTGTTTTACAATTGGCATTAGAGCCCATTGACTTTCGTAATGTGGATGTCATCTAAGGCTATGCAACCATTAGTGCACCATTGTTTCAGTAGGGTGAAGGCCCCATCACTTGTGTGAAGACAATGCTTAAAGGGGGATGAATTGTATTGACCCTATTCAATATCGTTTGATTGAGGTGAGTGTAGAATAGTACATAAATATAAATTTTAAATATTTATTATTCAACGTGTTTTAAAATCATGAGATGTTATACGAACAGATAATATTATACAACTTAGATCCGTGGTGCTACAGAAACCAACTAGCATGTCGGTCAACTTTTCCCAGTCTGCTTGATCTGCCCATTTATGCCATTGGCCAAAGAAGCTTTAATGAGGCAGGTAGCCGCCTCAGACATCATAAAAAAGCATGATATCTTGGCACATGAGTGGAGATCCTCTTTTCAAGTTCTTCACCCAACCTTTTGAGTCTTTGAAAAAAATGTTTATGGAAGTTGCTACAAGTTTCCAATTCTTCAGCCAAATTGTCATTGGTTTCTCTGATGAGATGTATACATTTTCAAAAATAATCCAATACACAAGTCTTTCATTACGACGGACTCTATTGAGTGTATACTATATGCATTCTTACTCTCACATGCAGAAAAAAAAACTATTTTCGTTATTTGAATTCATAATGTTCAAATCACAATATTACTATACCTGGTGGCCCTAGTTGTTGAAGTTGGAACCAGGAAAATTACGTTGACATTTTGTGCCAAGTTAGTCCGGCATATGAATGTTGTTATGTCAGGCAGCCCTAATAGGTTAACAAGATACGAACCCAAAATAACATAATCTAAATGCGATTCGATAGGATTCAATTGTCACCCATACATATACGCATCTAAATTAATACTTCTAAGATTGGAGATGAATCTTCCATTTAGTGTGAAAATGTCGGGGCCTCTGTGCTAATTGACCACAATTAACAAGATGATCCAGTATGTCCAAACATCATGGTGGCATAGAAGTTGAGAGATTTAAACTACATTCTAATCACATGTGTATTATAAGCGTCAAATAAGGCAATAAGAGAGGATTGATGCATCAGCTTCAAAGGCATATTTTCCTTAAGCATTTTTCTTCTCCATCTAAGGTCAAGCAGAAACCTCAGGGATGAACCGCTTTCTTTCCAATTAGAAGGAAGAAATGAACCGTTCATCTCAAGAAATAAAGTACGCTTTGTTGACTGAAAAGCAACCAAATATAAGGGAATGGACCTTAAAAATATAAATATTTCAAAAATATTTTAAAATTATTTCAAAAATAGAGTAAAGATACAAAAAAAAAATTTAATATTTTATTTCTGAACCATTCTTAAGCATTAGTCAAAATATTCTGGATTACCTCAAAACTTGATAATTTCGATATTCATTCACTAATTTGAAATGAAAATCTAATCCAAAAAGCAAATGCGATTGAAATAACTCAGTCAAATTAAATTTTATGAAATTATATATGGTTCACCTCAATTCATCAAATTTTATGAAATTATATCTGGTTCACCGCAATTCATCAAATAATGACTTGACTTCTTTGTATATTAATAAAGATATACATTTACTAATTTGCATCAAATCTCGATATATTCGAATCCAAATCCATATATTATCGATAAAAATCATTAATTCATATCTAACTAATCGGATTGAATTTAAATCAGATTTGCATTAAAACTCAATCCATCAACAAGCTTAATTGCCACTTTTAGATTTGATTCAGGTCCCAAAACCATAACACTTTCTTGGATATTGCAGTCCCAAGTAACTCTACTTGTGCTAATACATTTGAATGGATTGGCACAACTAATAAAACTCACGCAGTTTTTTAGTCTTCTGAATCATTTGCTTGCCAGTGCCCCCAAGGAAACTAGCATGTCCCTGCTGAATAAGTTATTTAGTAGCCTCAAATACCATAAAAGGCGTACCATATCTTCACACATTAGTAGTCATCTTAGTTTCCTATTCTTTATCGAACCTTACCTTTGGTAAAAAGATCATACTTAGTGCACAAAATTATCGCTTATAGCGAGATTTGGGAGATTCTATAGAGTTTCGGAAAGGATTGAGTTGGTGCACCCCGGTTCTTCAAATTGCAGGGACTAAAGAACCCAAGCTGGAAATTCCATTGATTTAGAGCTAAAATGTCAGTCGTGGATTATATCCTAACTGTGTGTCACCTGGCATTTACAAGTATCAGTCGGGGGATTAGTCATTAACCTTCTACCTTAGTAGAAGTCATCTCATTCACTGACCAAATTCTTCCAGCCAGTGAAGAATCAGCGTCATCTTGGCTCCTCTCTGTATAAAAACCAGGGTGCTTAGGTTCAGGCAGCATTGCACTCTCGCTATTCAATATTAGGAGCACAGACGACATAGTTGGCCTGTCTTTGGGGCGCTGCTGCACACACAAAAGGCCAACTTGTATGCATCTTAATATTTCTGACATTGGAAACGAATCCTGAATAAGGGGATCTATTAGCTCAAATGCTCTCCCTTCACTCCATAGTTTTTATGCCTGTGATAGCATATATGAGATATGAAAACACTGTATAAATTATACAAAGAAGGAAGAGGAACAGCCTAAACTAAGCACTTACATGTCCAAGAAGATTCAAATCCCACTCACAATTTCCAATACTAGGACCCCAAAGCTAAAGATATCCAGCTTCATTGAAAATATCCCATCAATTGCATACTCTGGAGACATATAACCACTGCATTCCATCATCAATGACATGAAAAAGTCAGTAAAAAATCGACTTGAGCATGCAGTAAAGAAAAAGCTTTGCGTGCTCACTAAGTTCCAACCACCCTTCTAGTTTTTTCAGTTGATTGATCTCCTCTGAATGCTCTAGCCATGCCAAAATCCGAAATTTTAGGATTCATCTCACTGTCTAGCAGCACATTGCTAGCTTTGAGATCCCTATGGATAATTTTTAGTCTTGAGTCTCGATGAAGATAAAGAAGCCTGCGAGCAATTCCCACAATAATATGAAAGCGCCTCCTCCATACGAAGAAGATTATTTCTTTTGTTATGATTGCCACCTTTAATCAGATTAAAAAGTCATTCAGTATATTTAATTCTGGTGTCATCTATCAATGGACTAATATAACTTGTCCGCTCAGTACACTTTCCTCTTCATGTTGAACATGAGGTATAATAAATTAACTACAAGAAGGGTTGAGAGGGCAAACCAAAAATAAATTAGTCCAGGCTTCCATTGGGCATGTACTCATAAACTAGCATTCTCTCTGCTCCATGACAGCAACAACCCAAAAGCCTAACCAGATTTCAATGCTGAAGTTTAGCGATCAACATGAACTCATTTTTGAATTCATTGAGACCTTGACAAGAATTCTCTGAGAGCCTCTTCACTGCAATCTCTTGACCGGTTGTTAGCATTCCCTACATTTTAAACCATCACAATAAACATATGATTCTTTTGATATTTTTTTCTTTTTTTTGGTTTTGCCCTGACAACAGTGTCTTTGGTAAGAATCACCTTGTAAACAGGTCCAAACCCTCCTTCTCCAATCTTGTTTGCATGAGCAAAATTATTAGTTGCTTCTGCAATAGTTACCATGATGATAGGCAATTTTGGGTTTTCCTCATCCCCTGCTTGAGTATGGGATACTGGGAGTGTACCTTAAGCACAGAAGTACAGAAGAATCAAGGGTTGAGAACATATAGTTCAATTATTTTTGGGGCATCTGTAGAAACTCAATCGAAACTTACCCAAGTTAGTGAAGTAGAATCAACTTCAAAAATGTTTGGGCTGCCTTTGAGCTCTACGTAGTCCAATCTGTTCTATAGAATCAGAGAAGCAGATAAATGAGACATACAAAAATTAACCTTCAATTGCATACTACTACTTAGTTTACTTAGTATGCCCATTTGCAACAAATATTTTTACTTATTTATGGCAGAGCAATGCTAAAATGACAGCACCCCATTCGATTCACATGGATAACCACTTCAATGTCCTATTTCCCTTTTTTAGAAAAATTGATCATCTCAATGATACTTGTAGTGTCAAAAGAATTCCGGACATATTTCCAGAAAGGGCTCTAAAGAGGTCATTGTCAGACCTTAAAATGAGCAGCTATTAGTCATACTCAAGGAATACTTCCAAGTGTGATACTCCAATTCAAGAAAAAGTATATCAACTAATCTAACTAATGTGATTGCAGATCGGTCCATGGCTTCCTTATCCGTGTCTCAGTGTAAAATATCAAGATTTGACTAAATAGAAAGCTCCCTTTGATGTCAAGAGAATGAAGAAGCGCTTTCAAAATAATGAATTAGTCATTGCATCAGTACTTTGTAAATGATGAAGCATTAGTAGAACTTCCATTATGTCAGTATTACAAAACATATTACCAATTGTGAAGGTGTACTCATTTAACTTTGAAACACATGCACATCAGCTCCCTCAAATTTGATTTATGACACTAAACCCTTGCATTTAGTACACTTTTTTACGTTACCAAGTCGAAGGAGATTTGTCTCACAAACAGAGTTGACGGGGATGGATGTGTAACCACCCCTAAATACAAATAGGTACTGTGTGATTACCTCATTGTAAAATAATATACGACCTATAATAGTTGCTAGGCAATGCTGTTGAACTATGGGATAAAGTATTTCTCTTTGTTTATTGGACCTTTCCATCTAAATATCATCTTATATTGTCAATGTATCTACCTAACAACAAAATGCGCCGTTGGTGAGTAATGCACCCAAATTGATAACACTGATTTTAAATTTCTTACTGGCTTGCTTAATTGGTAAACCATGATGGAGTTAATACAACATGATTGGTTTGGATTATCGATGATAAAAAGGAATAAGGAGATGAAAAAATTTACCTAGAGGTAAGATCAGCATCCAAATGATACAAGAGGCAATGACAAACACCACTGCAATTGTTGCACTTATCGTCAGGACTACCACTACCATCTTTTTCTTGTTGGAATCTGATGTTGACACTGTAAAATCAAAACCCAATCACAAAATCAATTTCAACAAATGAAGAGGTTCAGCCAAACTATTTCAGGTACATTAAACCGAACCAAACACATGTACCTAGGTCTGAAGCTCCAGCCCGAATATAAAGCTTCTGGCTACCAGATAGTGTCAGTTTCTTCATATCAATGAGGTCCGCAAACCAGAGCAAGCAACCAGTTCCCCCTCCAGTAGCACCTGAATTAGCATAAGCAGTGCAAGAGCAATTCTTTAAACACTCCAATCTACATTCCTCAAGGGGCAAACTGGGCAACACCAAAAACTGCAACAAATCGGGCATTTTAACACCTTCAAGTTCTATAAATCCTTCTCCGGAAGAACAATTCAATGGGGTGTTCCGAATGCACCCACCACCACAAATTAGCATCTCCCAATCTTGAGGAAATTTAGGCATATATCCAGTCAAACAGCTGCAAATGCGAGCTTCACTAACCGTACAAATAGCATTAGGACCACACTGACTATAGCTTTCACATTGATCGCGTGGCAGAGCACTCATGACATGCCATCTGAGGTAACTATTGTCCCATACAAGACGTTGAAGTGCCCCAGAGTAGCTTAGCTCTGACATTGTTAGAGTGGATTCATTGGAGAGACTAAATTGAAAATACATCTCTTCTGAATTATTGATGACCTTGGGAATGAAGGGAACGTTGGATGAAACAGTGATCCCATTGAATTCCACTCCATTCCACGGCCCTGACCGGAACATATTTACACTACCCTTCCGAAGGACTATTTGTGCCAGTCCTTGAATTTCTATTCCATAAGAGAAGTCTCCAGGAGAAGGATCATCTGCACTCTTCCATGATGTAAGGTACCGATTCAAACCAATCCTTAAGTCCCATCCCAATTTCATGCCTGCTAGCATGGCATCACAAGGATGATCAAAGCTTTGCCAAACATAATTCTCACTGTTTCCATTCCTCTCATCTCTCAAAACAAGATTTCCTGTGTCCAAGAGTTGTGCAACAATATTTATTGATGATAAATTCACAGTATTAGTTGACCAAGCTACTCTTTCTGTTTGGCCAAGAAGAACCAAATTTCCATCATTTTCAATCCTTAGAACCCCTGATGAATCATCAAGTGGGTTATCTCTGTTTGCTACCCAGACAACGGCTTGACTTGGGATGTTGTTGTACCATATACCCAAGTACCTTCTATTGGAATTTCCAGGAGCGAAGAAGCCAAGCTGAAACACTTTTCCCACAGAGACTAGAGTTCCATTATCGACATCACTAATTGCCTGAAATTGCCTTAGCATGTCAGTTGCCACGGAGATTTCACTGTAAGACAAGGTTTCCACAAAAAGATAACAGAAGAGAGGAAGAATATTAATCCCCATTGAATTGGAGACCTCCGTTGCAGTGCTTCAATTCATTTCAGTGCTTTATCGCCTCTTCAAAAGGAAACAAAATACAGAACTCTAGCTAATTATGTAATTCAATAACCTTGAGAAACAGTAAAGAGAATTAAATGGTAGAACCTCTTCTTTCATGCACTATAATAATGAGAAACTTGTGTATCAATGTAAAGAAAGAACAAGAGATTTAGGTTTAATTTGTTCAACAGTTCAGACAAATAACTCTTTTATCTGGTTTTTCAATATGTTGTTGACTCGAGTGTTCCGAAGTATCGACGACTTGAGTAAACTCGAAAAGATAACCACTCTGTAAGAATTAACGTAATCCCGTGATTCGGCACATATGATTTTATTAATTATTGTAGAATAATTAGGTTAGGTTAGATAACGACAAGGATATCAATTTTAAACTAATTAATATAAATAATTGAATCTGATTGTTTAATGAGATGAAATTTTTTTATGATATCTTACATGGATGAGAAGCGGAGTTTATGGTAGAACTAGGAAATCGGTCCTCTCTCTACTTAAAAATATACACGTCTCCCATTGAGTTGTGTATTTTATTAATATTTCGTTTGGTAGGGAGAATAGAAAGTAAAAAGGATGAAAAGTAAGAGGATACATTTTTTATCCTTCAAGGATGAAAAATAGGAAAGATACACTTTCCTTCATTTGTATTTGGTTAAAAATGACTATTTTTTTTTTGTGTTGACTAAAATTAGGGGTGACAATTGAATCGAGTCGTGTCATGTCAGATTCGTGTTGAGTCATTACGAATTTGTATCGAATATTAGTCAAACTTAACTTAATTCATTTAACTAATTATATCGTGTCGAGTAACGAGTTGATCTGTTTATTTTCGTATCGAGTTCGAGTCGTGTCATCATGTTGAGTCGAAAATTTTGAAAATTTAGTTAAGATAGAAAAAATATTTTTTTATTTTTTTTTTATATTTTTTTAAAAAAAAATTATTTTTAAACTTGTTTAAAATATATATAGATATTTTACTATTGTATTTTTATATGAAATTAATGTATACATAAGATATATAAATAAATAAGATACATCTCAACACAAATAATTAATTTTCCATTATCTTTCCTTCCGATTTTGAAGAGATTGATTTTGGTACGAGTGATTTTGGTGAGTTGGAGGGAAAGTTAATTCATGCACTTTTTCGTCCTTCCTATTTTTCTTCCTTACCAAACATGATGTTTTATTTATCCTTTCAACTTTCCATTCTTCCACTTTTCTATCGTACCAAACGGAGCATAAGAATAAAAGTCATGAGAGAGAAACCGATTTCTAGGCTACACAAAAAGGATGGTTCAATTCTTACACAAATATGATATTGTTTTCAATCTAGAATTTTATTGATTTTTATATATATAGATTCTATTAAGGAAAAATGAATTAAACACACAAAGAAATGTTCTAGAAGTGTAAAACTCTTTAAACTTTTTCATACGGACACATAAATAATTTTTTATCACATTTATGAATGATTTTTTGACATTATGGTTATCTCAATATACTACATAAAAATTTCAAGTGGAGAATGTCATTAAGGTACATTTTATTAATGTTGAAAGATAGGTATATAGAAAAGTGAGTCATCAGATCAGATAAGTGGTGAATATTGTGGAAGGTATGATAGTTAAAGATAATGACCTTATCTATTTGTTAAACTCTTAAAAAAGTATGTATTTGTGTTCAACACACTATGTCTAATTTGTGGTAGCATAATGATATAGCTAATAAGCATAATAACAATATAGTGAAAATGTTTAGGAGTATATTACGTGATTTTTCATTACTCTTATTTTATAGATGAATACTCTTGGAGTTTGAGACATCTGAAAAAAAATTGGAGTTTAGAACGATTAATGGTAATTTCATCGGTTACCCGAAATAATCCAAATGGTATAGGTTTTACTATTCTACCCATAATATGAGAATTATATTTATTGATCATGCCAAATTTATTAAGAATTGTGAAATTAGTAGGAGTCATAAATCACGAAATGTGGTTATTAAAGAAGTAAAGGTGAAAGTCCTAATATCCATAATTTGTCATAATATTGTTGTTCCAATAGTTGTTGAACGATCTGACAACGTTGAACAATAAATCAATGATTAACCACTACATATTGAGGTTGTAACCAATACACTGAGAGTTGAAAAATCATAAGGGGTAGCATTAAGATAATCTCTAACATAAAGCAATTTTGAACGATTACGTGATATATCTACAAGAATCTGACTTTGATTTAAGGATATGTAAAGATTTGATTTCGTTTTCACTAGCCATAGAAAAGTGATGGCTTTGTCAATTGGATTGTTGTCATGAATGATTAATTGAAATCTACGGACTAGAATGAAATTTGAAATCTTGTTAGATATGAAGTCAAACTTATGGCCAAAAGTTTCACTCGTAAATTAGGCATTGATTATATAAAGACCTTCTATCATGCATCCAAGAAGGACTCATTAAGAATTATTATGAGATTGGTAACTCATTATGATTTATAGTTATACCATATATATGAATGTGAAAACTATTCTTAATAAAATTTAGGTGGATAAGTCTATAAAGATTAAAATCTTAAAAGTTCTTATAAGTGAAGTAACACTTGACTTGTAAACTTAATAGGTCCATATATAGACATAAAAAAGTTTTTCTACCATGATATTTTAAGTTCAAGGATTTCATTTTTTCTTTTAGTATTAAGGAAAAGCACCATTATTGGTGTATATAAATGTTAAGGTTAGTGGGAGTAAAATTTTTTTTAACTCTATATATTGATGTTGTTGGATTATTTTGGTTAATTAAGTATAATTATTGTGAACAGATTGAACCAAACATTATTTCTTGGCAAATTAAATCAAAATTATGAGAAATTAATCTTTGAAAAGAAAAGCTTCTAGGACTCTTGATTGTAATAATATGTAATATCAATTAGTTAATGGGATTTGAGTTATGTAATTGAACTAATTGTTGTCGACTTGACATTTGACTAATAATTGAACTGAGTTATTCGGACTCGGTTCGTTTTAAATCCAATTTAGACACAACTTATTTTGACTAATTTTTTAGGTTAGAAAAACAAATTCGATAGGCTCAACTCGAGCTCAATAGGCTTGGTTCGTTTATATGTAAATAATCAAGCTCGACTCGAATTCAACTCAGTTCAAACTCAGCTCGTTTAGCATTTTTTAACAAACTAAATTTAAATAATTTTTTAAATTCATTTAAAAAAAAAACGAGCTTGACAGACTCAGCTCAATTGTCAACCTTAAATTATGACCTTATTTGCAACGTAAAATACTAAAACAGAATTGGAGCCAAAAAACCCAAAGAAAAACCTATTATTTGGTAGTTTCCTACATAAAATGTAAGATATTAAGCTATGTTATAGTCTTCAAATTATTGATATCAGGGAATTGAAATTATTGTTTCACAAGTAACCCAAACCAATGAGGTATAGAAGGTGTTTTCTTGGGCTGTGGTGGGTCTAAATGGTAATAAGGTTTTCAGAACCTTTTTGCATGCTTTCTGTGTCCTTCAAACTGGAATCTGCTTGGACAAATCACATTGATTTAGAGCTAAAATGTCAGGTCCTCTATGCTGATTGACCATGATTAACAAGATGATCCAATATGTCAAAAACCCATTCATGGTCTCAACTGCTGCAAAGAAAATATATGAACAGATATAACTAGCATGCAATCACCCCCCCCCCCCCCCCAAATTTTTCAACCAATACATTGCAAGTGACAGGATCATAATTTTATCCCAAAACTATAATAATCACCCACATAACCAAATGAACCTTAAAAATCTTGTCATTGTTGATTGTCAAGAGTGGATTAGATCTTCATTGTGTGTCACCTGGCATTTACAAGTCTCGTCATGAATTATTCATCCACCCAATTCTTCCAGCCACTGGAGATTCAGCCTCTTCATGGCTCCTCTCTGTATAAAAACCAGGGTACATAGGTTGAGGAAGAATCACACTCTCGCTATCCAATATTCAAAGCACACGTGATATAGCTGGCCTGTCTTTGGGGAACTGCTGCACACACAAAAGGCCAATTTGTATGCATCTTAATATTTCTGACATTGGAAACAAATCCTCCATAAAGAGATCTACTAGCTCAAAATGCTTTCCCTTCACTCCATAGTTTCCATGCCAGTGACAGCATATATGAGGTAAGAACACTGTAAAAATTATAAACAATAAGGAAGAGGAACGTCCTAAACTAAGCCCTTACATGTCCAAGAAGGTTAAAATCATGGTCAAGATGATGAAACCGACTGTTTTTTTTTTTTTTTTGCAACTCACAATTTCCAACACTAGGACTCCAAAGCTAAAGATATCCAGCTTCATTGAAAAGATCCCATCAATCGCATACTCTGGTGACATATAAGCACTGCATTCCATCATCAAAGACATGCAGTAAAAAATGGACTTGAGCAGGCAGTAAAGAAAAAGATTTGGGATGTTGTCAATCTTCAGGGGATTGTAAAACAATTCAAAACTAGAGTTAGTGCTGAACAATTTATTATTCATACATACAATTGGAGTATCATATATAAGATTATATAACATGAAAGATGAGTTAATTGTTTTTCGAAATCACATGTCCCAAAAGGTTGAGGTACTTATCCATGGTGATAAAAATTCTCTTCTTCTTGCACCTCACTATCTCACCGAAGCTAAAAAACATACTGGTCTATCTTCACCAAAAATAGCCCAAAACACTTTTATGGACCGAAAAAAATAATAAAAGTCGCATAGTTTTCCAATCTTCTGAATCCTTTGCTTGCCAGTGTCCCAAGGAAACTAGTATATATGTCCCTGGTGGCTGGTAACCTTTCACCATTCCTCCTGATTAGCCTTAGGGGCTCCAACTTTATGCCATTGACCAAAGCAGCTTTAATAAGGTAGTTAGGAGCCTCAAATACAATAAAAGCCTTACCATAACTTCACACATTAGTGGTGATCTTAGTTTCCTGTTCTTTATCAAACCTTACCTTTTGTAAAAGATTATACTTGGTGCACAAAGTTATTGCTCATAGCAGAATTTGGGAAATGACGTAGAATTTCAGAAAGGTTTTGAGTTGGGGTGTTAGCATACCCCAGTTCTTCAAATTGCTGGGACTGAAGAAGCCAGGGTGAGAATTCTTCCTGCAGATTATAGGGTGCGGCTATGATTTGATTAATCGGTGTCGACTTAGCATGGCATCTGCTACAGAAATGTTTGTAAGGTATAATACAGAAATAGAAGTGAGAAAAAAATAGCACTAATGAATCTCGCCATTGAAATGCTTGAACCTGTTGATGCCAATCATATCATCATTTGCTTCAGCAATTGAAGACACAAAGCCTTGCAATAGCCTCCAAATTCTGGATTAGCAATTATTCTCAAAACAATGAAACAGATATAGTTTTCACAACATTTATGCACTTTCTATTTGTTTGAAAGTGGAATGAGTGCGTTGATAAATCCCATTGATTTAAAGCTAGAATGTCAGGTTTCTCTGTGCTCATTTTTTCAACCAATCCATTCCAAGTGATATGATAATTTTATCTCAAAATTATAATAGGATACATAACATCAAACATTTAGTCATCATCGGGTGTACAGAATGGATTATATCCTAATTGGGTGTCATCTGGCATTTGCAAGTATCAGTAATGGATTATTCATCGACCTTCTAACTTACTACAAGTCGCCTCATTCACCGACCAAATTCTTCCAGCCAGTGCAGATTCAGCATCATCTGGGTTGCTCTCTGTATAAAAACCAGGGTGCTTAGGTTGAGGCAGCATTGCACTCTCCCTCTCCAACATTAAGAGCACAGACGACATAGTTGGCCTGTCTTTGGGGTGCTGCTGCACACACAAAAGCCCAACTTGTATGCATCTTAATATTTCTGACATTGGAAACGAATCCTCCATAAGGGGATCTATTAGCTCAAATGCTCTCCCTTCACTCCATAGTTTCCATGCCTGTGATAGCATATATGAGGTACGAAAACACTATAAATTATACCAAGAAGGAAGAGGAACAGCCTAAACTAAGCACTTACATGTCCAAGAAGATTAAAATCGTGGTCAGGATTAAAAAATCGACTGATTTTTTTGCCACTCACAATTTCCAATACTAGGACTCCAAAGCTAAAGATATCCAGCTTCATTGAAAAGATCCCATAAATTGCATACTCTGGAGACATATAACCACTGCATTCCATCATCAATGACATGAAAAAGTCAGTAAAAAATCGACTTGAGCATGCAGTAAAGAAAAAGCTTTGTGTGCTCACTAAGTTCCAACCACCCTTCTAGTTTTTTCAGTTGATTGATCTCCTCCGAATACTCTAGCCATGCCAAAATCCGAAATTTTAGGATTCAACTCACTGTCTAGCAGCACATTGCTAGCTTTGAGATCCCTATGGATAATTTTTAGTCTTGAGTCTCGATGAAGATAAAGAAGTCCACGAGCAATTCCCACAATAATATGAAAGCGCCTCCTCCATACAAGAAGATTATTTCTTGTGTTTTTTGTATCACCTTGAATCAGATTAAGAGGTCATTCAGTATATTTAATTCTGGTGTCATCTATCAATGGACTAATATAACTTGTCTGCTCAGTACACTTTCCTCTTAATGTTGAACATGAGGTATAATAAATCAACTACAAGAAGGGTTGAGAGGGCAAACCAAAAATAAATAAGTCCAGGCTTCCATTAGGCATGTACTCATAAACTAGCATTCTCTCTGCTCCATGACTGCAACAACCCAAAATCCTAACCAGATTTCGATGCTGGAGTTTAGAGATCAACATGACCTCATTTTTGAATTCATTGAGACCTTGACAAGAATTCTCTGAGAGCCTCTTCACTGCAATCTCTTGACCGGTTGTTAGCATTCCCTACATTTTAAACCATCACAATAAACATATGATTCTTTTGATATTTTTTTCTTTTTTTGTTTTTTTTGGTTTTGTCCTGACAACAGTTTCTTTGGTAAAAATCACCTTGTAAACAGGTCCAAACCCTCCCTCTCCAATCTTGTTTGCATGAGCAAAATTATTAGTTGCTTCTGCAATAGTGTCCATGTTGATGATAGGCAATTCTGGGTTTTCCTCATCCCCTGCTTGAGTGTTGGATACTGGTAGTGTACCTTAAGCACAGAAGTACAGAAGAATTAAAGGATGAGAGGATGAGAACATATAGTTCAATTATTTTTGGGGCATCTGTAGAAACTCAATCTAAACTTGACCAAGTTAGTGAAGTAGAATCAACTTCAAAAATGTTTGGGCTGCCTATGAGCTCTATGTAGTTCAAGCTGTTCTATAGAATCAGAGAAGCAGATAAATAAGACGTACAAAAATTAACCTTCAATTGAAAACTACTACTTAGTTTACTTAGTATGCCCATTTGCAACAAATCTTTTTACTTATTTATGGCACAGCAATGCTAAAATGACAGCGCCCCATTCGATTCACATGGATGACCACTTCAAAGTCCTTTTTCCCTTTTTTAGAAAAATTGATCATCTTAATGATACTTGTAATGTCAAAAGAATTCCAGATATATTTCCAGAAAGTGCTCTAAAAAGGTCATAGTCAGACCTTAAAACGAGCAACTATTAGTCATACTGAAGGAATACTACCAAAGTGTGATACTCCAACTCAAAAATAGGTTTATCAACTAATCTAACTAATGTGGATTGACTTGCGGATCGTTCCATGGCTTCCTTATCTGTGTCTCGGTGTAAAATATCAAGATTTGACCAAGTAGAAAGCTCCCACAGATGTCGAGAGAATGAAGAAGCATTCTCAAAATAATGAATTAGTCAATGCATCTATACTTTATAAATGATGAAGCATTAGTATAACTTCCATTATGTCAGTATAACAAATCATGTTACCAATTGTGAAGGTGTGCTCATTGAACTTCGGAGCACATACACATCACTTCCCTCAGATTTGATTTCTGACACTAAACTCTTGCATTTACTATACTTTTTTACGTTACTAACAAGCTAAAGGAGATTTGTCTCACAAATAGAGTTAATGGGGACGGATGTGTAACCACCCCTAAATACAAATAGGTACTGTGTGATTACCTCATTGTAAAATAATATACGACCTATAATAGTTGCTAGGCAATGCTGTTGAACTGTGGGATAAAGTATTTCTCTTTGTTTATTGGACCTTTCCATCTAAATATCATCTTATATTGTCAATGTACCTACCTGACAACAAAATGCGCCGTTGGTGAGTAATGCACCCCAATTGATAACACTGATTTTAAATTTCTTACTGGCTTGCTTAATTGGTAAACCATGATGGAGTTAATACAACATGATTGGTTTGGATTATCGATGATAAAAAGGAATAAGGAGATGAAAAAATTTACATAGAGGTAAGATCAGCTTCCAAATGATACAAGAGGCAATGACAAACACCACTGCAATTGTTGCACTTATCGTCAGGACTACCACTACCATCTTTTTCTTGTTGGAATCTGATGTTGACACTGTAAAATCAAAACCCAATCACAAAATCAATTTCAACAAATGAAGAGGTTCAGCCAAACTATTTCAGGTACATTAAACCGAACCAAACACATGTACCTAGGTCTGAAGCTCCAGCCCGAATATAAAGCTTCTGGCTACCAGATAGTGTCAGTTTCTTCATATCAATGAGGTCCGCAAACCAGAGCAAGCAACCAGTTCCCCCTCCAGTAGCACCTGAATTAGCATAAGCAGTGCAAGAGCAATTCTTTAAACACTCCAATCTACATTCCTCAAGGGGCAAACTGGGCACCACCAAAAACTGCAACAAATCGGGCATTTTAACACCTTCAAGTTCTATAAATCCTTCTCCGGAAGAACAATTCAATGGGGAGTTCCGAATGCACCCACCACCCCAAATTAGCATCTCCCAATCTTGAGGAAATTTAGGCATATATCCAGTCAAACAGCTGCAAATGCGAGCATCACTAACTGTACAAATAGCATTAGGACCACACTGACTATAGCTTTCACATTGATCGCGTGGCAGAGAACTCATGACATGCCATCTAAGGTAACTATTGTCCCATACAAGACGTTGAAGTGCCCCAGAGTAGCTTAGCTCTGACATTGTTAGAGTGGATTCATTGGAGAGACTAAATTGAAAATACATCTCTTCTGAATTATTGATGACCTTGGGAATGAAGGGAAGGTTGGATGAAACAGTGATCCCATTGAATTCCACTCCATTCCACGGCCCTGACCGGAACATCTTTACACTACCCTTCCGAAGGACTATTTGTGCTAGTCCTTGAATTTCTATTCCATAAGAGAAGTCTCCAGGAGAAGGATCATCTGCACTCTTCCATGATGTAAGGTACCGATTCAAACCGATTCTTAAGTCCCATCCCAATTTCATGCCTGCTAGCATGGCATGGCAAGGATGATCAAAGCTTTGCCAAACATAATTCTCACTGTTTCCATTCCTCTCATCTCTCAAAACAAGATTTCCTGTGTCCAAGAGTTGTGCAACAATATTTTTTGATGATAAATTCACAGTATTGGTTGACCAAACTACTCTTTCTGTTTGGTCAAGAAGAACCAAATTTCCATCATTTTCAATCCTTAGAACCCCTGATGAATCATCAAGTGGGTTATCTCTGTTTGCTACCCAGACAACGGTTTGACTTGGGATGTTGTACCATATACCCAAGTACCTTCTATTGGAATTTCCAGGAGCGAAGAAGCCAAGCTGAAACACTTTTCCCACAGAGACTAGAGTTCCATTATCGACATCACTAATTGCCTGAAATTGCCTTAGCATGTCAGTTGCCACGGAGATTTCACTGTAAGACAAGGTTTCCACAAAAAGATAACAGAAGAGAGGAAGAATATGAATCCCCATTGAATTGGAGACCTCCGTTGCAGTGCTTCAATTCATTTCAGTGCTTTATCGCCTCTTCAAAAGGAAACAAAATACAGAACTCTAGCTAACTATGTAATTCAGTAACCTTGAGAAATAGGAAAGCATTTTTAAATGGTGGAAGATTAATTAGGAAGAGGATTTCAACAGTTACTTGAAAAATAACTCTTTTTTTATTTGATTTTTCAACGTGTTAGACTTTATGTTCAAAGTTAGGGGCACAACTTGGATTGGGCAACCGATTTTAATCCGAGTTCAACCTGAAAAAATTAAAATTTGGGCAAGAGTTTTTAATATTTAGGTTGAGTTTGGATCAAAAAATTTCAACCCAAATTTAATTTGGGTTCGACTCGGGTTAAGAGCTCAGATTCACGGGTTAAACCTGAACCCAACAAATTAAAAAAAATTATATATATATATAAAATATTAACACTGATTTTTCATTTTTGTTATATCATTCTCTCTCTCTCTTATTCAATTTCATTTTTGTTCTAGCATTAACACTGTTTAAAATTTGGTTGTAGTTATTGTTTGTTCATTTAGATTAATATTATGTAATATAGGTATTAGGTTTAGAACAACAAGTTTATTTTTAATTTTATTCGAACTCAACCCGAATTGAACCTGTAAAGTAACCCGAAATTATTAACTCAAATTCAACCCGAGCTCACCCGAATTAAACTTAGAAAGTGCTTGTGTTTACTTCCTCAATCAAGGTAAGGTTAGGGTTAGGGTTAAAATTGAAAATTATATATATGATTGTGCTAGAGTTACCTAAATTACACCCCTATTCAAATTGCACCCCTATTCAAAGTCAATCATGCCTCCAGATTTTTACATCTTCCCTCTCCAGATATTTGTATTGTGAGATTAAATTATTTAAGAATGACCCACCAGTGAACCATGTGGTTTGAATATGCCTCACTTCCGAGAGTCTCATTCTCTGCAATGACATGCACTTGTGCAAAATAACAAACACATAGCATTCTTCTTTTTTGGCTCCGGATGCTAAGCTATTTGACTGATCAGATGCCACTTTGTTTCTTTTACCCATTTGTAACTAACCATCAATTGCAGTCAGAGAGCTTTCAATGAGCTAGTTTTTGAACACCTCTTTGGTGGATCCCAAACGTAACTCTAAATTCTGAGTGGCAAGAGTGATTGGTGCTGTGGTGGTGTGGGTCCGCAGTGGAATATGGTCACAACGTGCATATTTTTATATATTTTTAATGTAGTATTACGATTAGGTTTATGTCATGTATGAATTTTATGTCGTATACCATTTATAACTAGTATCTTTTGTAATTATTATACATAATATTATTGTATATTTGTATTGTGTGCGAGATGTTAAAAATTGTATAACAGTTTGTTGTTGACAGAATTCGTTGGCGCTTAGGAAAAACAGAAGATGTTTCGAATGTTGTTATTCTGATAAGTGTACCGAAAGACTCTACGAAAGTCATAGGTGTTTTTTTGTTGCTCGTAAAATACTCATCTTTTGCTTGTTTTTGTTTCTCAGAGAGGGGAATCGGGGATAAAAGACAGATAATTTGGACAAGGGGAGATTATTATAGGTGTACAAAGCATGGAGAAATAAAGTATCAAGACTTACGGGTTTAAAATTGAATAAAAAATAATTTACTTAGTTTATTATCACAAAAAATTTCGGACGGTAAGAGTCCAATTAGTCACTTAAGTACACATGTTGTGAACTGATTGGATCAAATACTATTTCTTTAACTGATTAAATCAAAATTATGAGAAATTAGTATTTTTAAAAAAAAATTCTCAAATTAAAGTCACCAACTAATAACTTGGCACAAATAAATAGAATTGGGTGTTTGTATTGATTTTAACATGACTATTATTATCCATAATGTTGAATGCTAAAGATATATTGGTTGAATTGATGTCATGTTATGCAATATTCAAGAACTAGTTATTATCTGTGTCTGAAGGCACAGAGTAATAAAAAATGGTAAATAATAAATATATTTGTATTCATATCCAAAATTAAATTATAAACATATAGAAGAGATAAAAGAATTTAAACATCTGTTTGTAGTAGGGGTGAGAGATAGTGGGCGGTAGTGGTGGTGGTAGGAGATAATAATAGTTGTGGTGGCGGTGATGGTGGTGGTAGTGGCGGCAGTGGCGATGATGGTGGGGGGTGGTGGTGGTGATGGCGGCAACAACGACGCCGACGATGGTGGCGGCGGTGGTGGCAGTGGAGGTGGTGGTGGCAGTGGCGGTGGCACTGGTAGTGGTGGTGACAGCGAGGGCAGTAGTGGGGGTGGTGGCGGTGGCGACGATAGTGGTGGTGGTAGAGGTAGTGGTAGAGCGGTTCAAAATCATATATTTTTTTTAAAGTACTTATGAGAAATAATTCTTAAAAACACTTTTAAAAAATTACTCCAAATACATCCTTAGGTGAATTTTAATATTAGTCATTAGATTAACTTTATAGTAAAATTTAAAGCGATCTCAACCGCGAATAACAAAAGTCATTTTGTTTATCTTTTGAAATTTGAATTGTAAACTATTTTATTATATAGATGAGATTTAGGTTATTTATTCTTCTATTTAATCTCATGATTGATCTTGTCTCTCATTATGATCAATTATTAGTAATTAGTTATTATTGATCTGATAATTTATACAAAGTCTTTATCTTGATTTGTTATCTATATTATACTAAAGTTTGGTAGTCGTCAAAGTGATCCAACTAGAATGACTTATAAATATTAAATCGTATTATTGATGTTTAATATTCATTACTAATTTATTAAAATAATAATTTATGCAATGTCATTATTTTGATTTATATCTATATTACGATATAATTTAGTAGTCATCAAAGTGACCCAATTAAAATGACTTATAGATATCAAACCATATAATTGATTTTAATATCCATTATCTTATGATATTAAAATAATCATTTATACAACATCATTATTTTAATTTAATGCTTATATTATGAAATAGTTTGGTAGCCGCCAATGTGGCCCAATTAGAATGATTAATAGGTATTGATTCATATAAGGAAAAATTGTAAGGAGGTACATGAAATTAAATTGTAAGAAGGTACATGAAATTAAAGTTATTAGTCAAAAAAGTACATAGCTCTTAATGTTAGATCATTAAATCCTTATTTTAAGAACTTAATTGTGTCCAAATATACAATTTGACATTTTATAATTTTTTTAACATATGTGTTCTTCCTTAAATCATGCATATTTCTTTTGGCAGCTATTAATTTTGTTTTATTGTATTAAAGATTTTCTAATATAATAGAAGAATTATATTATCACAAAATTTGCATATCTTAGTCATTTGGAATATTAAATTTTTTTGTCATTATCATTGCCATTAAACATATCTCTCTTGCATATATATATATAGTGTGTGACTTCGTAATATTATATGTGTGTGTGAATTTCAAAAATTTCCAAAAAATTTGAAACATATCCCTAAAAAATGGAGATGATTTATTGTGGGTTTTAATTTTTCTAAATTTTAGATTTTTGTTTTATTAGAACTCGTCTCTCTCTCTCTCTCTATATATATATATATATATAGCTAGGAATGTTTGTCTTAGCCTTTTCACAGGTCAAATTATTTCAAGAGTTTTGATCCGACGATCCTCATAGCAAATTTTCTTAACACTTCTATCTCTCGTCTAACCCTTTTCCCTTATCTCAAACTAACAATAAAGACTCTTATCTCCCCTTTAACTTTATCTTCCTATCTCACACAATATCTATTTTTCCTCTCTCCCTCCTCTCTCTCTATACACTTTCCCTCCTCTCTTCCATTTTTTAATGATCAGCAGCCCATCAAATTTACCCATTAGCATGCCATCAAATTAACCCATTTGGTTTACGTAAGAGTACATTGAACGTGAGGAATGATTGAAGGCACAAACATGGAACCCCATAAAACCCATCTTCCATTTTCCCACCAACTCTCCTCACCCGGCACCTCTTTCTCTCTTCCTTATCTCTCATCTAAATCTCCCTCCTTATCTCACCCACCAACTCTCTCTCTCTCTCTCTCTCTCTCTCTCTCTCTCTCTCTCTCTCTCTCTCTCTCTCTCTCGTTATCTCTCATCTAACTATCTCTCTCATTTTTAAAAACAAGCTACTTTCTCTTATCTCTAACTTTCCCCCTACAATACAATCACATCGAAGTAACACCCTCTCCCTTCCTCTTTGTTTTTACCTTGTGCCTCCAATACACACTGAACAACCCACTGCAAGCAGTCCCAGTATCTGTATCTTGATCTTCTCTTTCTTTCTCTCTCTCTCTCTCTCTAACTGTGCGTGTGTTTTTGTTCATATGTGTGTGTGTGTTGTATTCATGTGTGTGCCTACATGTGTGTGTGTGCTGTGTTCATGTGTGTGCCTGTGTTTGTGTTCATGTGTGTGTGTGTTGTCTACCAGTGGGTTCATATATGTGTTTGTATTCCTGTTTTTGTAATTTTTCAAAATGTATTCATGTATGTAATATAGTGTTTCCCCTTAAGTATTAGACCCGGGGCCAGTAGGTGCAAGAAGGGTAACGCAAAAACCAAAGAGAACAAAAAAACAGAAAACCTTCGTCCTTAAGTTAAATATAATACCCATAGGACCCAGATTGGTGGCTTGCAAGTCAAACATGTTGGCATACTGATAGTATAAACAAAACGTGAAGAACCCATTAGATGGAACAAAACCTAGAAACATTATGTAGAAATTAAAGTTTCATTGTATTCATAGCACACAAAATAGAGTAAACCCGTCAAAGTTAAGCTCTTGCAGAAGCATAAACAAATTAATACAGAGCTACACACAACACACTAAACACTTTAAATTCCCATACCAGTAGGATGAAAGTGAGGCTGGAATGAGGTCATATCAAAGAAGCCCAATGTTAAGCATAAAGAACAAAGCAAACCCAGAATAATCTATTTCAAATATGTGTGTTCATAGGTTCAT